AAATGAAGTTAGAGTATTTCATCTTATTTCAGCAGACCTGCTTTCTGAGCATGTGTTGCAGAATCAAACCTTTCAAAACGTCTTAGCCATGGGTTCTGAAACCCTTGGCTACCAGAAATCAACAGAAATTCTGCTGCTGAACTCTGGAGCAAATATCCAACTAGAAATAATTTGGATTTAAATTTTTTAAAGTGTATTATTTTAATCTTTTTGTAAGGAAAGACTACCTTGTAAGGAACAGTGAGACATTCTTTATTTAAAAAGAAGAAAGAAAAAAAAATTTGTGTGTTTTTTGTTTTTTTCAACTGCTTTTAAAAAGATTTCCACTTCATGATAAAGAGAGACTTGAGAAATGGTTGCGGAATATGAAGCGAGATGCGTGGACTCCAAGTAAGCACCAGCTTCTATGCAGTGATCATTTTACCCCTGATTCCCTTGATGTGCGATGGGGCATACGATACTTGAAACATACTGCTGTACCAACAATTTTCTCTACCCCAGATGATGAGGTAATGTATTCCTGTCTTTTTTTATTGTAGTACGAAGCTAACCAACTACTGATGTAATGCAGTTGTTCTGATTATCTGCAATATATTCATATTTTATTTTAAAAATAGAATTCCTGTCAAAACATTTTGTCAACAGAACTGATGCAAAACGAGTATATGATTCCATAGTATAAGGGAAGAACAACTTCCCATACTTTGACTGGAGGTTCAATCTCTCTTTTAACTGGAAATTACAAAAGAAAAAGACATTTCCTATGAGAAAACTATGATTCTAAATATTTTTTTCTGTGCAACTACTCTTAATATTTTAATGTTCTTTTAAAGCCTTTTATTAACTGAACATAAATACTGGCTTTGGAGTGTATTAGTTTCAAGCTACACACTTCTCTTTCCTGTTCCTAACCCTTCTAACACTTAAGAGCTCAGGAGCATAGGCTGCTAAAGATATCCCACAAAGGCTAGTTCATCCTGTCTTTCAAGACTTGTACTATTGGTTACATTAAAATACTGTGCTACGCAGGCACCTAATCTTGATCAAAGCTATGCTAATTCTCTTCTGGCACATAACTGTCTTTCTCCAGATCATCATGTTGTAGGTAGGAGAAATGGAACGACCGGATTTAAGGGTAAATAACTGAAATGTGTGGCTATTTAGTTTTACAAAACAATTTATTTTTAGTCATGAAGTTCTCTCTCTTCTTGGATAGCTGCAAGTGTTGCTCTAGACTGTTTTTGATTCTGTAGAGTCAAAAGCACTCTTGATAGAGCTCTCAAATATAAAAATAGAAAATCTTGCCACTTATGGCAGTAATTAGTCTTTAGACATTTACTAGCAATAAATGTCTTTCCTTCCAACTCCCTAGTCTCCCTACTTCCATATATCCCTTACGTCCCTGTGCTGTTACTGTAATAGGGAGCTGTAGCTTTGGAACTGGACTTTGCTGCCCTGTGCTTCTATGCAATTACAGATAAACTATATGATTTCACCCCAATTAAAAGTCGGCTTTTCCCCACCTTTTCATTCTCTTGTTTTGCATTTCACCTTAGACCAGTCATAGTACACCTACAAAGGTGGACAGTAGAGTTATGAAGGTAACAAACTTTTTATGCAGTGGTGTTGCCCAGAACACACCAGTGGCTTCTTTATTTTTGCATCAGCAATATATATCTGGGAAATCCCAGATAGATTTAATCATTTTAGAAAAATAGTATTCTGTGCATCCCTTCGGTGTATCCATCAATTCCCTGCTATCAAAAGAAAAGAGATGCTAGTTCTTCGTATCTGTGATAGTGTGAACTTGCTTTCCTGGATTTTCACTTTTCTCTCTGGCATTATTTTTTTAAATCTCACACTTCTGATTGCACTTTTCTAAACATCAAGATCTATCCTGTCAGTGACCACCTCAGGAAATCAACAGTATCCACTGACTTGGCCACTGGTTCTGTAGTTCTTGTGTAACAGAGAAAGGGAAAGACTTCATTGTCTCAAAATTCATAAGATTGATGTGATGTTATGTATCACCTTTGAAAAGATAAAGGTAACCAAATGAATTCTAATTTTGTATACATTTTTCACTCCTTTTAAGACTGATGTTTCCTATAAAATCAAATTATGTAGTTTAATGTGTTTGGAATACTTCGGACTCCGTACATACTTTTATGAAAATACACTTTTAAATTATCTTTTCCATCATAATCTGTTTTTTCAGCCTGGCCTCATTCCTGCCTTCTCTGTCTTTTTTGCCTGCTCTATATTCAGCAAAATTAAAGTTGTTCTGTTTGTTTGTTTTGGGTGGTTTTGGGTTTGTTTTTCAGTCCACAGGGCTAACATGAGTGCAAGTTCTGCAGCTCGGACTCTTCATAATCAAGCCTACTAGAAAAAAATAAGATACTCAGTGTATTTTTGTTTCATTGGCTGATAGACTAAAAATCTTGTATTGATACTAATCTTTAATCATGTGGTGATGTAGTTTATGTGGAGGAGGGGAAAAGAAGGTGGCTAAAAAGGATAGATTTCAAATGCAGCTTTATTCCATCTTTAATGCAAAAATCTTGCACTGTATGTATTTAATATACATGTATTTTATACAGTGTTTCAGATGGTAATTGGAGATGCTAGCCAGTTGTGGTAGTTTAGGCCCTGCCAGGACCGGAGACCACGTTGCCGTTGTCCCTCCCCCACCCTCAGGCCGGACAGACTGGAAGTGAGTCACAAACCCCGGGGTTGAAATAAGGAGAAATTTAATACAACAGTGTAATAAATAACAATCTGAACAATAACAACAACAATAAACAGTAATAACACTAAACAAGACAAAAGATATACAGAGAAATACCGCAATGGTCACAGCTAGTCTGCCACGCGTGCTTCCCGCGACCAAAGCCACAAAGGAAAGCTTCCCACACTGCCGCCTGATCTGACACCAGCATGGTATGAATAACTCGGCTGGAGATCCCTTCCCCCTGCTTGAGAGAAACTTAACCCTATCCTAGCTGAACCACAACACCAGTCTTTGTCAGACAGATTTGTGTAGCCACTTCTCTTCAAGTGCTTTTAAAATTATAATGACTCATGTAAATCAGTAAAGTTTCTTAGAGTTTGAAAAAGAAAAAACAAGAAGTATTATTGCCTTTAGAGCTTCAAAATAGTATTTTAACATTTAGGACCTGAAGCAACGTTATGGAACACATATGAGTTTTCAGGTCTCTGCAGTAGTTTTTCAACAATGCTCATCTAAATTACTACTTATGCAGTGCTATGTTATAGAATGAGATTTGCCCTTTTTTTTTTATGCTCAAGTGATTTCCCAGTTATAAGGTGGTTGGTTTTGGTTTGGGTTTTTTTCCTGCAGGAAAGAGATTCTTCTCAGAACAGCCTGCAGGAGAGAAAGAGAGAAGACCCAGAAGAAACAAATCCAAATGTAATGTCAGAGAAAGCATCTGTATCACTTGAACCTTGTACACCAAAGAAAAAACTTATAATTGCAAAAAATGTACATGAAAAAGCAGAAGTAGTTTGCTCAACTTCATTGAGTAAACCTTTACAAACTAAAAAAATGCAACTTCAAAATGGAGAAGACTTTCAGGCAGACAATGTCATTCTTGATAATTCTTCTAAGCAGCATATACATCAACCTGACCCTGTTTTAATGGCAGCAGCGGTCCAGAGCATGGAAGCTACCAGTGTTCATACATCTGTAGAGGATCAAGTAGGTTGTACAGCTACAGTCTTGCAGTTTACAGACCCTGACTACTTGAATTCATCTCTGAAACTGACAAACACTTTAGGTTCAATTACTGACTATGCAATTGAAAATCCTGACTCTCGTGTTGTAGGCTGCTCTGTTGAAGTACAGCCAACAAGTGAAAATGCAGTTTTACTGAGTACAGTCACACAAACTATTGAACAGTTCCGTGGAAGTGAAGAATCTGTCATTGCTATTATTGTGCCAGCCGAGAGTCCAGAAGAGCCTGAAATAGTAAACAGTTCTTTCCTGCCTATTAAGCAAGAATTTCTTGACACAGAGGAGACAGAAGGAGATAAGTCTGTGTATATGAATGCATATGTTGGACGTGAAGTATTACAAACTGAGCATTCGTACTGCAAACAAGACATAGACAGAGATCACCTTTGGCAAAAAATTTCAAAGCTCCATTCTAAGATAACTCTACTTGAAATGCAGGAGATAAAAACTTTGGGGAGACTCAGGTCCTTGGAAGCTCTTATTGGACAACTGAAGCAAGAAAACCTGCTTTCTGAAGAAAAGTTGAAGATTGTAGAAAACTGCTTTACAACACTTGAAGTGACTATGATACAGTAAAGGCTTTTGATGATTGTTCTGATATCTTTTTAGCCTCTTTGACTGTCCTTTTGGACAAATTAACTTTTGTTTCAGTCATGGTATTTTAAACATCTAATGGAAATTGTGTGAATAGCCAATACTCTTTAAAATGATACGTCAACCACTATGAAAGCTAAGTTGTAGAATATTGCCTATAAAACATGATTTACAAGTAAGCTTTAAAAGAAAATAAAACCTGTTAAAAGTTTTGTTTAAAAATATTTGAATTGAATCAATACAGATAAATTAAATCTTTCTAACTCCAGGCTCCTCTGAAACATGCAACTCCTGCATTTGGGGCAGCAGTAGAATGGACAAATAAACATGTAGGATGGACAGTTGTAAAACTGTTTTTTAAAAAAAAACTGTCCCAATTCTCTGTCAAATGAGTAAGGAGGTATGTAATACACATTGTCCAGTGAGGCTACTATTACTCTTCAATCTTCTGTTCATCTAACATTTGTTCTGATAGATTTTGGTACACTTTAACATTATTAAAACTGTTTCTGCAATAAAAGGTGTTTCCTTTCATTTAGTTCTAGAAACAAAAATTCTGTGAAGAATATTGTTACAGTGAACGGGTTCATCTCTTTTTTTCCGGATTATTCATCTCAAATGGAAAGAACCATCTTAACTAGTGATAGTTTCTCTGGTTAATAAAAGGGAAAGCTCTTACTATTTAGAGAGTGCTATCTGCTCAGCATTGATCCTCTTATACTCTGCAGCTGGGTAATGCATATACCCTTAATAATGCACTGAAGAAAACAGTGCTTTGCAGAGCAAATTGCTATTGAAAGCAGAATCTGACTCATTATTTTTCTATATCTTACTGTTCAAGAAATGGAATTACAGGACCAGAAATCCACTTCCCTCTATTGATTTTATTAACTGTTTCTAATGCACAGTAGAAAGATACCCACACAGGGTATTATAGCTGTTAAGCAAAGGTGTCTAACAAAAGATGTTAAATAATATGACAGTTTATTAACCTGGTGTTTTCAAGTAGAGCTTTACAGCTTTAGGTTTAAACTTGCCAGTTTTCCTTGATTTTAAATTTGATGTGATTGCTTTCAGTGTGTCAGATCATAGTCTGTCTATCCCATCTTGGTGTGTCCATCCCATCCAGGATCATGGTTTCTGCAGCAGAGAGCATCGCTGACTTCAAAAAACCCAGAGGTTGCCTAGAAAACAAGACGATTTTGTATGTAGCCTTTCTCAGGACCAGTCTTGTAGCAATGATGAGGGTTAAACTCCATGAAACAGTTTGAAGGTAGATGAGAATCAATGCCGTGTTATGTAGGTGACTGTTGCAAATTGATTCCAATAAAATATTTTGGGCAGACACCTTTTGTATTAATTTAAAAATATTTAGTATTATGGCTATGGCTGGCTGTACAGCTAGGTCCTTTGCTTCAGGGATATGGCAACACTGAATTCGCAAGCTAATCATCATGAGAAAGGCAAAACACAGTGTTGGAAGTTGCCACACACCACTGAATTAGATGCTACATGTATGCACTGTATTCAGGTGTTTCCTAACCATAAAACTGCACAGCCTTTACGCACAATTTCATTTCACTAAACTTACAAACTCTTGAAGATGCTACATTAATCCCTGAGATCCAGTGGAAACTGCCTTCATGTAGTTACAGCCCATCATCAAACAAATACATGGAATCATCATTACTTCTGTGAAATATCCGGCGTATCTTCATCCAAATTAAACGTCTATCTTTTCAATTATTTTGCATCTTTTTTCTTAACTTTTGTCCGCCTCTTTCCAATGTTATAATTAATTACTTCAAAACTACAGATTTAATGGGTTGTTTTGCTGATTAAGGATAACAGTTAAACTCGGACACCCGAGTGAAAAGAGCAGGAGTATTTTACTGGTGATAACTGAATAATGTAACAGTGTAATACAGAAAACATGCAGTAAGAAAAAGCAGGATAATGCACCTAAAGCAGTAAACAGGAGAATACAGGGTAACGCATCAAAACATTACAACATGAGAGAGAGAACAGTGATTAAGAAAGACCCATCACCACTTGCACACGTTCCCATCACCCAGCCCCGCAGTGGCTGGGCAGCCCCGGTTACAGCGAGGGTTTGGGGAGCCTGTCCCGGCAAGGGGGAAATCCTACGCGGTGCGTCCCCCATAGGTGAGGCTGACAGAGTCGCTGTGAGCGGGTCCAGCCTTATATACCAGAGATCGACAGGCCAGAATAGCTGACACCTTTGTTTTGAGCAGAAAAATTCTGGTTTCATTCTCCTGTTGGATTCCACCCAAAGCCTGGCCAGGGCTCAGGGGGGGAGACCAAGGGAGTTTCTAACAAGGCCAAATACTTGGGTTCTCAGCCTTGAACAAGGCTAAACAAGGGAAGCTGGATCCGTTCTCTCAGCATTTTGTCCTCACTACTGATTATATTCTAGGCTTCATCTTTCACTAATGAGCTTACATACTTTACTAAGTTAACATCTTCGGCTCGGGGCCTGTTGTTCAGGCTGCAGTATTTCAATGCTTTAGCAGTTTTTACATCAGCATAGGTGGTTTGTTATAACTTAGTACAATACCTACTAGCACAATGGTTTTCAGTTATAAAATACACAGGATTCATCTACAGGTCAACTCTGGCTTGGGCCTGTTGTCCAAGCCTTAGCACTTCATGGATGTGGGTTGTTTACTTAATTCATTTTTTAAATGTTAAACTGTATTTCTTTTCCATTGTCTGTTGGCCACTGTAGGAATTTGGCATTTGGCTTTCTCCTAGATCTTCATTTAAATTCCATCAATTCCATTAAACTTATCTACGAGCAGTGTAGTTCTATCCAGAATAAAGTGGTGCCCATTTCCCCTGGTTTTCCATGTGCATTACAAGGTGGACTGTCAAGTTTTATTTAACTCATTCTGAATGCAGTGCCAGCTACAGGGGATTTTTTCTTTCTATCAGACTAATAAGTATCCAGGACTTCTCTTCTGTACTTTTTTTATCAGTGGTAGAAATATTGATGACAGTCCTGTATGCTTCACAAGCATTCATCAGAAGTCTATCTGGTTCTGTTATTAGATGTCTTTAATATCTTTACTCTTCTCTACTGCAGTGAAGCTGTAATTAATTCCTCCTTTATGCTTAAACCCTGTCCTGTTCTGAGACTTGGGTCCTACATTAGAAAAACCAGCAGTAGAAATGGGCTCACTCAAAGTTCCATCTATGTTAATAATTAATTTTCTCTGTCCTTTTCTGTTTTGTCAGAGTTAGTCCACAAAGAGGGGTGCTCTGGGACAGTGCCATGAGGTCCAGCCGTGCTCACCTCGCAGCGGGGCAGTCACCCTACTGTGGAGTGATCCCCTCTCTGACTGCATTGCTGTTGGGCTCTAATGACACAGTTCATAAAGTCATGCTAGATGCTTTCTTCTCGTCAGTAAACACGTCACATTTAAAAAATAACACTTCTCTCCATCTCTTAAATTCTCTGTAATATATTGATTTCCTTCATGCCGAACCGTGTTTTAGTCCAAACTGCCTTGTGCACAACTTGATGCTTCCCCTCACTTCATAATGATGCTTAACATGTCATACATGCAAATCCACACGCCAGCACTTCAGCCTGTACACAGTGCTGCCTTAGTAAACCACTAGGCATGACTCTTCCATGTCACAGTGAAATGGTGTAACGCACAGGGAACCCATCACATCCCCAGGTGAGGGCTTGCCTGCATGTAATGGGCTTCTACAGCCATAATTATTTGTGTCGATGACAGTGGTAGACTGCTCCGCAGGATGTGTTATTTCTAAACCCACTGAGGTAAGTGCTGAAATTCCTTTTCTGTTAGATATTTTGAATTTCGTAATGACAGTATGGCAATGAAACCCAGAGCCTGCCTTTGTCAGAGATTTTATCTGCCCAGCAAGAGATACAAGGAAAGACCCACCTGCTTTTTGGGCAAACTCAGGAGACGCTGTGAGCTGCTATTTCTTTTTCACCACCCAGGCAGAACTAGACAAAGTCCACATCCAGCCTTGAGGAAAGGCATAAGATGCAGGTTAGCGGTGAGTGACTTAGACCTTTTCCTCTTCCATAAACTCCACAAGCAGGAAGCCTCGTGCCATGTTGTAAGACTCAAAAACATTAAATTGCACAGTTGTTTTTGGAAGATAGATCGATAGATAGATAGATAGATAGATAGATAGATAGATAGATAGATAGATAGATAGATAGATAGATAGATAGATAGATAGACAGATAGATAGATAGATGAGAGAAAAAAAAATATATGGCGTATATCCAAAACAACAGTGCTACCTACAAACAGCAGGTGGTGCTACTGGATCGCGCTGTAGAAGTCAGACTAGACCCGCGTTTTCTTTTTATTCTATTGAAACATAGACAAACAGATTAACTGTGCGGGGTTTTTTTTCCTTATATTTCAGATGTACCTTTAATAATGAAGGGTAGTATCTAAACTAAACATGATGACTAATAGTCTTCAATCTTACAGAAATAAAGCTTCAGACAAGAAGAAACTCATTTGTATTCTGAGCACAAAACATGAAATTCAAGAGCCTTCTGCTCAAGCAAGTGGCAAAAGAAGATGTAATCACTGTCCTTATGTGGAGCATGATTGCATTCCTCATTTGTTATGGTGGGTCAGCAATTAAAATCTGAATCCAGTAAACAGTTTAGCATTGCTTATTTGCATATTAATCAGGGTAATAGTGTGAGTGTTTAATCACACCCTTCATCAAGGCTGTCTGGTTTGCTACTCACGTACTGCAGCCATGTTTTTGAAACTGGGAAGATACATGCACAACAGCTTTATGAATGGCATAATCCCATTTCAAAATGTTGTGGGACAAACTTTGCTCCAAGCATACACAACTTCAGATGATACAAACAATGTTGTCATAGGAGAATGTGGGTCCTGCACATTAAAGCAAGTTTCTTCTTGCTTATTCCAGTGTTACTTTTAAAATGCAACATATAATTGGGCTTTACAGTACAGGTTAGAAGTATCCATGTGATTTTCTGAGTGAATGCAACAGGGCTGCAAAACAGTGGCATTGCAAAACCACATGGTAACAAGAGCTGAGTCAAGGTAAGTGGTGTATTCAGAGGCATAAATAAGCCTCAGGGCCACTGGGTTCAGATGTTGCAGCTTCTTCTGGGTACACAGAAAGTGGTGTTCAGAAACTCTACCACAGCCTCCTGAAAGAAGTCATCTCACATGACTCTGGATTTCTCCATCGTGAGGTGCATGTCAATTAAGCAATATTTGATATGAAGAAGAAGAAATGAACTGAAGAAAACCCTATTTAACTACTGACTATGGCCAGGGGATCATTCTAGACAGATATTTCAGATTTAGGTATGTATACTATAAATACCTGAAGTTGCCTAAAGTAAATCTCACCTTGTGTTTCAAAAGGTAGATCACTTCCATTTCTCAGACAGGGACAACTTAGGAAGACTTAAGGCTAATATATAAAGGAGTTTGGCACACCAGTCCTTCCAAATTGTGCCTTACTTTCCTGTACAGCTAGTGACAAGATGAATACCTTTCAAAGCTCTAGAGGGGATTCTGCTCAGATATTTCATTTATATAGTTACAGCCTTTTCTTTCTAAAGATTTTGAAAGACATCTCTATCTCTGTAAGAAATTTGTACAAGTAGGAAAACTGATTCACTGGGTGGCTGGCTTAGGCAGAGTACATCCTAGGCACAATTCTCAGTGCTGCAGAACGTTCTGACAAGGTGCACATCAGACATAAGGGTTCTGCACTGCTTCATGAATAGCATAAACTGGTTGTATTCAAGACACATTTGACCTCTTATAGCCCGCTGGGACCGAAAACAACCTTGTGGGTGCTATAGTTTCACTCTGGAGTAGTAGCAAAGACCATGAAGAGGTCTTTTTCAGCCATGTCGCTTGGCCAAGCACACTATGGATCATAAATACCAGCAGTCTGACCTTCAGTCTGAGTCAATAGTCAATGAGGCCACATAAGAATAGGCTTCAGGAGCTTCCAATGACCAGAACTGCTACTGTTTGGAGATGGGGGAATAGTAAAGACATGAGAGTTTCACAGCATGCAAAATACATCAAGCCCTTACCAGCAGATGTTATTAAACTTACATCAAAGCTCTTTATTCGGTGTTTTATGTGATGAGAAATCCTGTACCATATAAAGCTGGATTTGGCTGGAGGGCAGTTATGGAGCAACAACACCAATATTACCTCAGTGCCTACTAACAGACCATGAATACTCTCAGAATGCTGAAGAAGCGTGTCCAGGACTGGCTCCACCAGACTGACCAGGCGCTTTCAGGAAACAGTGTATGTTCTGCTGCCACTAGATAAGGGTGAGTACAACGGCAGACTCTTTTCAAGGCATCCATACTTCACTAGGAATGCAGCAGCCCCTCTCCACATCTCAGTTATCTGTGTAGTCCCTTAAAAGGAGGACAGGGGGGGCTCACCCCCAATGGGCTCAGCTCCCCATCTGGTACAGGAACACTGTGTTTTTCCACTATGAGGAGAGCAAATATTCAAGGTTTGGCTGGCGCAGAGGACATCAGCTTTGAACTGAATCATAGCTCAGGCCTCCAGCAAGGACTCAACAAAGAAGCAAAATGTGGACTGATGTTGGATTTTATCCTGGTTTTCCCCTTACTGTAATGAAAGAGGGACCAATAAACCAAGTTTCTGAGACTTACTGGGGTAAGAAATGCTGCAAGAAAAATGAAGATACAGATAATGAGCACAAAACTGTGTTTCATTTATGGGTATTAATTAGTATCTATTTTGTGAGATTTTAATAAAAATATGTATACATTTTTTATTTGCATAGCTTCAGATATTTTATTCTGTATTTAACATCTGAAATTAATTTACAGCTTTATCCACAGTTTTTGGTGCATACTGAGGGATTGCAGACACTCTTTGCTTACCTTTATTTGTTGTTTTTTTCACATTTTTACACTGATTTCATTACAGGACTTCAGGAACTCACCTTCCTATTTCAAAATCCCTCACCAAACTGCCTGCTGCCTGCTGCTTGTGATAGGCTTTCAGCCTGTATCTCTTTTTATCTTACCCCAAGCTCACACATTAAAATTATGGGGTACTGACATACACATGGCTTACTGCACTCAAATGCTCAGCTTCCTTTGACTGTACCTTGCCTGGTAAGGTGAATTATCTTCCACCGGCTAATGTAAATATGTTAGGTGTTGTCTTTTTTAATGAACAGGATATCTTTTTAACCTACTTCATTTAAAAGAAATTCTTCACAATGTCTGAAAGGATTTTGCTAATAATAACCCACCACTGTGGGGTCTGCGGCTCCAGCTCCCACATTGTTTATAGCAGATAATATATGGGAATGGCAGAATAAAAGGCAAAAAATAAAAAATAAAAACACATCTACGGATCTTTTTTAATTATTTAATCTGTTTCTTTAACAAATACTGATTTTGAAAGTTGACATATTTCCCTTCTCCATCAATACCTACATATATGATGTAACAGTGGAAATCATTGGTCTAGTCCCCACCATAATAGACATAAGAGCTGGAAAGCTTTTTGGAAGTCACTGTGAGAGCTGCATGTTCTAAACACCTGCAGGCTTGTTTAATTTTCTAGTTACACACTGCAGGAAAAAATAAGGTGACAGTTAAAGAAATATGGTAAGCTTCCCAAATGATGTCTTAGCTAGCCATGAAAATTTTGCTTGGGGTTTTAAATAAGTATGTTTAAGAACAATTAAAAGTGTGAGTGCATAAAATAGGTTTCATTGAAGATGATGTGAAGCAATGAGTGTCATGCACTGATATGAGCACAATGCAGAAGAGATGTGAACTGACAGGGAAGCAGGAGGCTTTTACTCTCATACACAGACACACACACAAAACCCACTCATGATGCTGTACTTGCCTTAAAATAAAGAAAATGCTGAAATAATGTTTCTAGAACAAGTCCCAGATACATCACCGCAGTCTCCTCCTAAGCAAAAACCCAACACATTCTTGCTTCCCAAAACTTATGATAAAAATGCATTTTATTCTTTCTATAACAATTTTTAGCAATGGAACATGAAGCAGTAATGAAATGTTATGACAGAATAATATGTTCTGCCTTCTCCTGCAGGACAGACTATAACATTGTGTAATATTTGAAATCACTATTTTACATTACCTCAACATTTGACAGGATCAATAGCCTTCTGGGAAATTCCCCTTACTGCATTCTAATGAGCAAATTGATGGCTTTTGAAACAGAAACAAGTTATCTTTCAGACAAGCTATAGCTGGGAATGGCCAGTTTGAAATAAATATTGACACCTATACAACAGTCCATGTTTATGCAGCTCTCTGGAGAAAAAGGAGAAGCCAATAATATTTAAGAACTGCAAGGATATTAAAAGCATTCAGTGCCTGTTCACTTTTCTTCTCAGAATATTTGTGATTTTCAAGGGATCTGAGTGAAGACTATAAACAAAAGTAGAGTCATGAATATTTAAAATGGAAATTAACCCTCATATTCTTTGTTCACCACACAGACCATTTCCTGTCCTTTACAGCAAAACTCCATTTCTGTTATGAAAGAAATTCCCTGAGCCAGGCTCAGGGAGGCAGCCCTGTGTTAGATCCCACAAACAACTTGAAGATGCACCAGAGGCCTAGTCAGATGTATTGAAACTTAAAGCATGGCCCTGTAACATCTCCCTTAAAATAAGGGTTACATATTTCCACTGCCCTTTCCCCCAGCCCTCTTCCACAGAATAAGATATAGGTAATGCCAAACATAGAGTTTTTAATACTGTTGCCCTTTCCTCAAGCATTCATGTTTCTTAAGAAGAAGCTAAAGAATAAAGGTTGCATTTTTAAAGGTATTTAGGTGTTGCTCATCATGCTGCCTTTACAAATCTGGACATTAATCTTTTTTATTCTCCGCAGATCTCGGATGTTTGGCCAGAGGCAGGGAGTGGTGTGCCAAGGCTGGTGGTCTGTGCTGGTGGCCTGGAGCCACAGCAGCCACCCTAGGCACACCTCCCCACCTGCAACCAACCCCTCCAAAGGGAGAGCAGTAGCTGTTGCTGTAGTTGTATAAACACAATTTATACAGCCTCAGGGCTGGGAAGATGCTACAAATGCTAAAAGAGAGAGCAAATACCTTTGTCACCTGACACAATGTAATAGCAAGGCACTGGAACACTATACTCATGAAAGCCTTACATAGATCTGAAATAACAAGAGAACTGGCTTCAATATATGGAGTGCTTCCTCTGAAAAAATGATACTCCCTCTTCTCCATGCAAATATATCAGAGCGTACATGAATCAGAATTCCTGGTGAAGTCACGATGCACCAGAAGCTGACCATGATCCGTGCTTGTTGCAAAGGGCTTCGGAGAAACCTCAGTGAAGGACAAAAATTTGCACTCTGCCAAGTTTGGTGTCACATCTGCTGTTGAAAAGAAGTCACTGTAAAGTAGCTCCTAAAGGAAGAAATGCGAACCTTCCCTTCCAGAGTGAAAACATTTCAGTCATTTGAAAAGTGAGAACAGTAACCTAACACAAATACCATATGCAAAATGCAGCTTTGTAAGAACAGGAATCCTGGCAAAGATAACCCACAAGTTTCACATCATTTACAAGCTGCGTTATTCCCTTATTGCTAACAGTTCCACAAAATCACATGTGCAACATGTTTGTTGGCATTGCACTATGTCTTTTTTTAAAAGTCCTAAATGGGTAATATTTTCCTTCTACATATAATAATTAATAATAAATACTCAGATGATTTAATTCCATGCATATCACATTTGTGTTCTAAATGTTTGATGCAAAGGGAAACAATACTCTTAAAATGGATGAAAAACATTGTAACTGAAAACATGTATTTAAGACTTGAGCCAAAACATAAATCTAATATGAAAAATGTAAGAGAAGAGGAACTAACTCGTGATCCTGAAGGGACTATAAAACATGCTGTAAAAATACTTTGAAAGTGGTTTAAGAGAGAGTGAGGGCCAAAGTAACACAAAATATCAAACTTTGATCCAAATCCCATCTCCCATGACCCGTCACAACCGCAGCACAACTGCGTGCTGGCTTCATTTTCATTACTGTTACAAAGGGAACATGTATCTCATGGGTGATCGGCCCTTCAGACATATCCAGTAATGAATCTAATAAAAGAATCAACTAGCAAGTAAGAGAAAGATGATTTTATCACCACTATTCTATAGATCTAGAACAACACAGGGAGTTGGATGCCCCTGGGAAACGGAAAAATACTCCTGAGCTTCCACATGCCAGTCTAGTATCTCAGTCACAAATCACAAAACCACAAAATCCAGAAATGTTGGTTCTACCATGCCTCTGGAGGTCACTTAATGCGGCCTCCCTTCCAGAGCAGCTCTGCCCCTCCTACCGCCACAGCCCTGATGCCATGGGACTCTCTGAGATGGGCAGGTCCACACCGGGAGCAGAGAGAGGACAAGAGCCCCAGGTACTGGTGTGGCCCACAGTATCACACTGAAATGCTCTTTGTTCTATAGACAGACACCACATAAAACAAAAGGCAAGTGTTCTTGGTTATAATTTCTGAATATAATATCAACACAAAGACATGCTTGCGTTCACACAAGAGTATTTATACCAGACAATTACTATTTTTTGGTGGAAGACTTTTAAGTGATTTTTAATATCCTCTGGTTTTGCTACTGGTGAGAATTTGACATCAAGAAAAAAAGAAAATAACATGGAACAAGAATGACAATGGCTTCCATCCGTGTCCCATCTCTGTTCCTTTAAGGCTGCAAAAATATCATTTTGATTTTAAGATGGCATGCAGAGCTCTGTCTCTGCTGGGTGAGGAGAGAGCCACGATGATGCAAAACACACCAGAATCAATGGAAAGACTCCCATGAACTGTCATGTACCTGAAAGAGTTAGGAGAAAACACAAAGAGAAAATGTGCTCTATTCTTTGAACCAACTTCTCAGAATTTGTATGAATATTTTGGCAGTAGCAGTTTATAACACATACATACTCATTTATAATTTTTTTACAAATCTTTGGTAAATCTTCCCATTGCCATATTTAGCAAGAAAAAGAATGACAAGTAAGTGAAAGGTTGGAGAACAAGTGGGCAGCAGTGTCCTGCAGACATTAAAGTTACCATGGCATTAGAGTCATCCCAGTATGAATAATAGAAAGCTAGGAACATCCATTTGAATCAGTGGCAGTGGAACAATGTAATCCTCCCATATTAAGTCCTGCTTTGTTTTCAGATTGTACTGCTGATTCTGAAAGAGAAATATCAATGGGAGAGTGAAAAGGGGCCTGAATATCTGTTTATATTCTTTAGAGTAAACAGGGTCATTCCTACTTCTGATAGCATCCCCAGGGCTCCCAGTTGCCTCTAAACCCTGCCTTTATCTGTCCATTTCCTAATTCAGTCTCAGAAGATCAAAATCTCCACAGATGATTTGTAAGTATATCTGGATATATATTTATGTACAGGTTGAAGTTTGTTTCCTAAGAAAACCAAAATGCCAAGAAATAGAAAACCAAAAAGACAACCTGCCACTGCAACTTTCCAGACTTCATTATGCATTTTGACATACTGCTGTGATTTGAGGCAGTCTCACCATATTCTGATTAAAAGTGTGAAACCATGTTCTCAGGAGAAGGGAAAAAAAAAGGTCAGATCCTTTCCCCAGGGAA